TCCTGTATCGTGGTAGGTGCACGGAGCCTAGCGCACCCTCCTGTATCATGGTACATGCATGGAGCCTAGCACATCCTCCTGTATAAGGTGCTCCTAGATTACTCATGATACCTACACAATGGAAAATGTTATATATAAATTTTTTACTGTACTGTTATTCTTAGGTTTTTTTCTGAATATTTTCATCCACAATTGGTTGAATCTGAGGATGCAGAGCCTGTAGACACAGAGGGCAGACTGTATAGCAACATTGTTGTTTTGCTCAAGCCCCAACAGAGTGTTCTAAGAATTCTGAGTCGTCGAATTCCACTAAGTTTTCTAATCTGGGAAACTTTCAGCGCTGGTGTCCAAAATGCAATTCATGAGGCTTCACCATGACGGGTGCGGGCAGGAATCTTTAGTGAGTGCTAGCACTGCTGTGCCTGCAGTCTGAAGGTCAGCGAGGAGCAGGATGCTTACGCAGTCTCAAAACCTCTCCCTGGAAATTGCTGATTCATTACAACGGGAGAAAGAACAACCTCACGGAGACCTCTGCCCCTTCCTGGAGGGCCCTGACGGTGCTGCAAGGCAGCCCCAGCCCCTCCCGGGCGGGGCCCACTCCATTGTGACCCCATCTCTCTCTGGCTGGTCTTCTTCCCCCCGGCTGGGGCAGCACCATCTTTGAGCCTAGATCCTCTGGCTTGGTTTCTGCTCCTATACCAACTTCCAGTATCTGCTGGAGACCTAAAGGTTTCTCAGGTCCTGCCAGGCTTCCCTAAGGGGCTGCACCTGTCACCGCCATTCCGCTCCCTCCTTAGTGACCACCGGATTATGATGCCCTCAGCTTCAAGCACTTCCCTGCAGAGCCTTTTTCTAGACCGAGGTCCTGGGAGGAGACAGGTCTGAACCCAGTTCCATCTGGAACACCATACTGCTGGGCGGGTTCTCACACTCTGCACCCCAGGACTAATGCAGCCATATATAACTCCCTGGCCAAGGCCTCTCTGCCTTTTAAGGATTTTTAACTTTAGTGAAAAGTTTGTAGATGACTAAAAGCTTTAGTCCCATTACAGTTAACTCCTAATTTCAAAGTCTTCCAAATTCTCCAAAACAAAATTAACTTTTATTTTAAAGTTATCTTATTCCTTCAGAAAATAGATTAGAAATTAAGGGAAGATGCCCCAAATCACAGAAAATGTAGGGAATTCTAGTAAAATCTCTTAGGAGGAAGGCTGTACACTCCAGTATCATGTTCAGAAGATGAACCTTGGTTATACTGACACTGTGAACCAGGACAAATAGGGGGAAGGCAGGCATCCCCACAACATGACTCACTACCTTTATAAAGTGGTGATCTGCGCGTGGGATGGTTGAATCTCTGGGCTTGGTCAAAATATACTGGTTGTTCTGGGAGTCAATCAGCATGCTAAGGCCCAGGTCGTCCTCCGCTTCCCGTTTTGTCATGTTTTGCTTAGAATTGGCCTCTTCTTCCTCCACCCTCAGAACTGCCTCAAAATTGACCCCCTTGACCTGTAAGAGTAATAATGTTGTGCAATTAAAATCAATTAAGTGCTTTCAAATTTTAGAGAATGAATGCTAAACAGAAGAATGTTAAAAATGTAACAGTCAATGTTCATTAGCAGTGAATCAGGACTTCTCAGTTAAAGCAGTGACTTAGGAACGAACAGGTGTATGCTTTCTACTACTTTCCATCATCTACTTCATTCTTTCAAAAAATTCACAGCCCTTAAAATACCTACGAGTTCTCCGAATTCCATAGTCGATTTTTAAACACCTTGTTTCTTCTGCTCTATTTTTACTCTCTCCGCTTTCTTCTCTAATCTGATTCTGATTTTTTATTACCCAACCCTTTCGTAAGTCCTCATCAAGACCCAGTCAATTTTCGTCATCAATCCCACTTTTTTTCTTAGAATCTTAAACACACTACACCAAATAAGCAGCCTGAATTCCTGCTTCAAAGATACAGATCATTTTCAAGGTGTTCACTGCTCCCCCTGCCACAGGCGTCCAAACCACAGCGACCCCACCTTGAACATGAGCAGAGCAAAATGAGGACGACACCTTCTGGGCTGCCTTTCCAGGACAGGCATTCTTAGTCACAGGATGAGACAGCAGGTCGGCAAGACTTGTATCACAAGATACAGGCCACGAAGACACCAGTGACAAAACAGGATGCCGTGAAGAAGCTGCCAAAACCCAGCAAATCCAAGACGGCTGTGAAAGTGACCTCTGGTGGTCCTCACTGCTCATTATACACGAATTTAATACATCAGCATGTGAAATGACACTCCCACCAGCGCCATGACAGCTTACAAATGCCATGGCAACGTCTGGACATTACCCTATGTGGTCTAAAATGGGAGGAACCCTCGCTCTAGGAAACCCCCACCCCTTTCCAAGAAAATTCATGAATAACCCACCCCTTGCTTAGCATGTAATCAAGAAGCAACCATAAAAATCACCCTCAGAACTGCTCTGTCTACGGAGTGGTCACTCTTTTGTTTCTTTACTTTCTTGATAAACTTGCTTTCACTTTACTCTATGGAGTCGCCCTGATCCAAGAACTCTCTCTTGGGTCTGGACTAGGACCCCTTTCTGGTAACACCCAGTAGATCAGCATTAAAACCCAATGCCCAGGCTTTCTTGAGAGCAGGGTCCCAATCCATCTGGTCTCTGGAAAATGGGCACAAGCTGCTGAGGTGAACTGACCGCCGGTGATAAAATGTAAAAGGAAAATAAAGGAATGATTAGTTTACTTCTACGAGACCAAATTATTTTCTCTGTGACAGAGAAGTGTCTTAGTCAGTCTTCACTCTCAACTACACTAAAAACATACACGTGACCAATTTCAACAACACGCCTTCCAATCAGTACGTGGCTCGCTGTTCTGAAGGCTTACGGATTTATTGTCATCAAAAGCATGTTCCTCGATCTCTTCCTCCAGACGATCTGCTGCCTTTCTCACATCTTCAAGGATTTCATCAAGCATGGATAAACTTTTGTTCTGATGCTGCATATTCTTAAGCGCTTCAGCTTGATGTTTTTCTGCCGCCAGAAGTTCCACATACTCTGTTTCTTCCTATTTATTTGTAAGAAAAGAGGGAGATACATGAAGAAATAAACCAGGACATGACTTTCTCAATCAATTCTCCTGTTTTCTTGGTCAAATGTCCCTCTTCACATGTCAATAACGTAACTCTGGTCAGCTAGGGAAGCCACGTGTCCTAGTTATTCAAACATAACTAAGCTTAGCGAAATGTTGAGGCAAAGTTTTTTGTACATGTACATCAACACGTGAGAAGCATTTGTCACACAAAAGTAGTGTAGTATCTGTAGGTCATCTATTCACAGCTCATTTCCTCAACAGTAACAGTGCTCCAGCCCTATCACGTCAGTGAGACCTCAATGTGGAGTTACTGTCTAAATCTGATGCACAGTCAAATTCAAGTTACAAGGGAAAACTGTTCCAAAACACATGTAGAAACCAACAGCATTAATCATTTGAGGAACTGATGAGTAATGTTGGAAACAGTGACTTAGTAATCTATTTTACACAATTATATTTCATCAATAATTTACTTTTAAACATTTATTCTTAGCTAAAGGGATGTGACATAGGACATCAGAGACGACCAGAGCCAGAAGGGCATTGTTGCCTCAATTCCCAAGTAGTCACAAGACATCATCTGATGCCACTGACAAAGAGCTACAGGTGACACACAGCCGCAGGTCATATCCAGCTGCAGGTCTCACACACACAGCTGCAGGTCTAGCACACAACTGCAGGTCTAGCACACAACTGCAGGTCTAGCACACAGCTGCAGGTCTCACACACACAGCTGCAGGTCTCACACACACAGCTGCAGGTCTCACACAAAACTGCAGGTCTCGCACACAGCTACAGGTCTCGCACACACAGCTGCAGGTCTCGCACAGACAGATGCGGGTCTCGCATACGGCTGCGGGTCTCACACATATGGGTGCGGGTGTCACACACACGGGTGCGGGTGTCGCACACGGCTGCGGGTGTCGCACACGGCTGCGGGTCTCGCACACGGTTGCGGGTCTCACACACACGGCTGCGGGTCACAACACAGCTGCGGGTCTCGCACAACGGCTGCAGGTCTCACACACACGGCTGCAGGTCTCCCACACGGCTGCAGGTCTCCCACACACAGCTGCAGGTCTCCCACACACAGCTGCGGGTCTCCCACACGGCTGCGGGTCTCGCACACACGGCTGCAGGTCTCGCACACGGCTGCAGGGTCTCACACATATGGGTGTGGGTGTCACACATATGGGTGCCGGTGTCACACACGGCTGCGGGTCTCGCACAGACGGCTGCGGGTCTCCCACACATGGCTGCGGGTCTCGCACACGGCTGCGGGTCTCGCACACACGGCTGCGGGTCTCCCACACATGGCTGCGGGTCTCGCACACGGCTGCGGGTCTCACACACACGGCTGCGGGTCTCGCACAAACGGCTGCGGGTCTCCCACACATGGCTGCGGGTCTTGCACACGGCTGCGGGTCTCACACATATGGGTGCGGGTCTCACACATATGGGTGCAGGTGTCACACACGGCTGCGGGTCTCACACACATGGCTGCGGGTCACAACACAGCTGCAGGTCTCGCACACACGGCTGCAGGTTTCGCACACAGCTGCAGGTTTGACTGACACACAGCTGCAGGTCTAGCTCACGGATGCAGGTCTACCCAGAGCTGCAGGTCTGACACACAGCTGCAGGTCGAGCATGTGACTGGAGAGCTAACATAGCCGCAGGTCACCAGCACCTGGAGAATCTCGGCATAGGAGATAATAACTAGCGTATGTTAAACTACTGTTGACATGTTATGAAGTGTGCATATTTGAGCCAATGTTACTCAAACTCATGTTTTTTCTCTATAATAAAAGAGCCACAAATCTAGACCCTACTACCAAGGTACTGTCATGTCTCCACCGTACAGTCACAGTTCATGCACATATCACACAGGCAAGGCAAATGAATCAGTGTTATTGAAAACCTTGATTTATACATTTGTCTGATGATCATATTTCTCTCCCCTACGACGTGTTTCGGTAAAGAAAATTTCATGTCTGTATTTTCTCCAATTTTTACGCTGTGGAATAATCCTACAAGTTTTTCTGTGAAAATGACTTTATATATTTAAAGGGCTTGGCATAGAACAAGTACTCAAGAAATGACGGCTTTAAAAAAAGAATAACTAATACAACAACTGATATAGTAATTCAGAAACTTCTCATCATTTTAAAAGCATACTTGGTCAAAGTCCTAAATTGAAATGTATACATTAGTTTAAAACTAATTTTAATATTTTTATTTTCGATATTATGCCACTGAAGAAAAGTGAAACTTCACACTAAAAGGAACTCCTGTCAGAAACTCAGCAAAATGTTGATTTATATTTACTTTTGTATCAGTTTACTAATACAACTTGAATAACTTTTTGAATTACCAGGGGGCTTCTCCGTAGAGAAAAGCATGAGCGTGGCTCCTTCTAGAAGTAAGAATACAGTACTATGCAAAAGGAAAAGATTCCCCCTCACATTAGAGATTTTTCTAGATGTGACTTCCGAGGAAGACAACACCTAGGAGACATCGGCAGCATTCACTCCTTCCCTTCCTCTCTGCCCCCCAGCTCCGCAGTGGGCTCTCCTTAGGATGTGGGCACCCGCCCTCCGCCTTTCTCTCTCACTGACTGACCTTTATTGCTGCCTCTCTCAGGGCCTCCAGGCGCTGCCGGCTGCTCTCCTTCATGTTCACGACATCTTTGTAATCTCCCTGGAGGGCTCTCTGCAGTCCGTAGATGGCTTGGAAAACGGAATTTTCACTTTCATTCAACTCTTTCTGGAAGATTTCAAATGTGTGCACCTGAAACAGTTTCTCTTCACCCGACAGGCCCACGTCTCTCTCCACTGCTCCAATTGCATTTTTTAGTTTGTTCAGAACCGCATTCTTCTGGCGGAGAAGCCCTGAGAGCTTCCTGCAGCTGTCCCGGACCCACTGCCGGCTCTGAGTGGCGGCTGCCCCTCGCCCACGGTGCAGTTTGATCACACGCTGTGCCACCTCCTCGTGCTCCACAGCCTGAGTCGCCCAGGGAAGGACGGGAAACAGCACCCAGAAGAAGCTTCTTCCCAACACCTTCATGATCCAGGTTCGGAAGGCAGGGCACAGCAATCCACAGGTCTCTGCCTTGCTGACCTCGCATTTCAGATACACATTTTCAGCTGAAAAAGAGTTATTGTCACATATAGTTGAATAATGATTCATTACTATTCATCAGAGTCAAAGTATTAAATAACCAGAACCTGAAAACTGATAACTTCCTGAAGAAAATATAATCTTTCCTAGATTAACATCAACATCTAAACTATTGCACTGAGATTAAAATCAAATACTGAATGTTGACGTATCTTGTATAGCACCTTGTGAAGGGTTGAGATGATTAAAGGTCAGTTACATCTTTACGGAAAGGTTTAAAGGCAATTTTGTTTTTTTTAAAGAAAACACCCTCATATCTCTACCAACTCTACCATGTGCAAAATACAGAAACCAAGTCTATTTAAGAGAGTCCATGTTGGCCAGGTGCAGCGGCTCACGCCTGTAACGTCAGCACTTTGGGAGGCTGAGGTGAGCAGATCACGAGGTCAGGAGTTCGAGACCAGCCTGGCTAACGTAGCGAAACCCCATTTCTACTAAAAATACAAAAATTAGCTGGGTATGGTGGTGTGCACCTGTAATCCCAGCTACTCAGGAGGCTGAAGCAGAAGAATCCCTTGAACCTGGGAGGTAGAGGTTGCGGTGCCAGGATGATGCCATTGCACCCCAGCCTGGGCAACAAGAGCAAAACTCTGTCTCCAAAAAAAAAAAAAAAAAAAAGAGAGAGAGAGTCCATGTTATCAAAACCCAGAAAATACCATCAACTTCCCCTCAGAAGTCAGTGGACTGCCTGGGGACACCACACTCAATGCCACTCCAGAAACGAAATTTTCTGAGCTCCCTACCGTTAGCTTTGTGGGCTTCCTAAAATCATTTGAAATTTTGCCACATGGCCAAAGTCAGTCTACAGTCAAGTGCTAAGAAGATGTCAAGAATTTAAAATATACATATATCTATGTAACAATACCTAGATCTCTAGAACTTTTTGCTATCATCCAAATTCAGTCTCCTTCTCTACCTTTCTTTAGGAAGACCTAAAACAATATATGTCAATTTATCCTGGCAAGGCAGAGCACAGACAGGAACTCGCTTTCTGAACATGACTCCTGGGGGAATGAGGACGGTTTCAGCGTGGCAGGAGCCGTGGCGTCCAGGTGACGGCAAGCAGGGGCAGGGCAGTGCACCGACTGAGCACTGTTTAGGGAGCAGGTGGAGACAGCGGCCAGCAAAGGCCACTAAGGCAGAATGAGCTTAGAGGCTGGAAACCAAGACTCTGGAAAGAAGAAGGAATAAACGCCGAGTCCATGGAATTTGGCCACTAAGAGATCACAGGCAGCTAAGCCAAAAAAGGCAGCAAAACCAACACCTACCACGTACGCAGATTTACGGTTGAAACAACAAAATACTAACCTAACCATTCTTTACAGCAGCATCTAATGGACTGTTAGGAATTCCTACTTAATCGTCACATACTCCAAAGACTCCCCAGCCTGGAAACCTGGTTACTAAAATATGTATCTATATCTCTACACTTTCATTTCACCGCTAACCCAAATTCTAGTAGTTTAATCTCGTTTCCCAGGCAAAACAGATTAGATGCAGCAAAAGTAGGGGTGGCATTTCTGGAGGCAGCATTCTGCCCAAGCCATGAAATGGCAGCTGACAGAAACAAACAGGAGAACTCAAAAAGCCTGGAGGCCAGATGACTCAGTGAGGGCTCAGCAACTGTGTGCACTTCAGCAGGTCCTGAAGACAGTAGCGTTAGACAACAGGAGTCACTCATCAGAAACACAGCAAAAGTCACCAAGAAGAGACGATATTCTGGTTAGAAAGTGCTCAATTACAGAACAATCTTGGGGACTGACTCCTAAAAGGATATAAGCACGTTCCACGGAGGGTTCACTTACCTAGAACGGGTGTAGGATAAATGATAATACGCTCTTCCAACCAATTTTATGTTAGTTTCAATACACTTTAAGTACACATGTACACCCTTAAGTACACATTTACCACCTTAAAAACAAACAATGAGGCAATCATTTAGTCTTGCCTAGCAATATAGCTAAGCTGTTATTTTAATGACTCACAAAACTGCTAAGCTTCTCTCCTTCCAAGAGAGCTAAAGAAATCAACAGCTACTTCAGAAGTGCACTTTTAGTATTTTCTAGAACCAAGATAGAAATTTGAGATGCTTCGCTTACACCTCCCAGTTCCCCCAAAAGATCCCAAAAACTGATTCTTTGATGGATTTTATGCTCCAGAAAAGTAACTTTCAACAGAGCTCATGTGTTAATGACACCTCTATGTTCATTTCCGGTTCCTTTCTCAATCAGGTTCCTGAAATTAGGTGCCCCTCAAAGGGAGCTATTAATTTTTATGAGGATTTACGGAGGATTTTAGTTGTAGTTATACTAAAATTTCTCACTGAAACATACTCATAACATGAAAGTGAAATTATTTATGGATCCTTAAAATACAAATCACTCTTTTTTCAAACTCATTTCATTTTACCTTCAAACTTGCCTCCAAAATCCTATGGACTACCAAATTGTAGCATGTTTTTTTAGCAAATAAGTAAGCATCTTTAGCTGTTTTAATTATTAAGAAGACATTTTGGAGGCCAGGTGCAGTGACTGATGCCTGTAATCCCAGCACTTTGAGAGGCTGAGGCAGGTGGATCACGAGGTCAGGAGTTTGAGACAAACCCTGTCTCCATTAAAAATACAAAAGTTGGCTGGGCATGGTGGCAAACGCCTGTAATCCCAGCTAACAGGAGGCTGAGGCAGGAGAATCACTTGAATCCGGGAGGCACAGGTTGCAGTGAGCTGAGATCGCACCTGGGCGACACAGTGAGACTCCATCTCAAAAAAAAAAAAAAAAAAAAA